ACAACTACTGCGAGGAAACAAAGCAAATCCACTCCCCGTCGATGAAATGAGCTCCTGACTGTGCTCCTCTTTCATTACTCTTCAGATCAAGTTTGAATTTTGCTGGTTTCCATGAATCTTCGCTATGTAATCGGAAAAATAAATGAACTCAGAACAGTCTGACAGCTGGGAACGCCTCATTACAGTGACGATGCTTTAATTGTTGTTAGTTGATTGCAATGCAGGAAAATAAAGAAATAAAATGCATCGACTGTCCTTGTTCATAAAGCTTACTGATGTAAAGCAAAGTGTCAGTCTTGAAACGAAGCTGCAAAGACTGCGTCAAGATTTCCAGGTATGGCAAAAATGTAACTTTCATGTCAACCAGAAACTTCAAATTTCATGGTGATTAGGCTAAAGACAAGATTCAAATGAGATCTAAGAAACCCCAAGGAAGACTTGGGCTGCAATAGACACCTATGATCAAAACTGATAAAGACAGAACATAACCTTGTTTAAGGGCTCCTTATCCCCAGAGGCTTCTAAACTAAGTAGGAATGTCCTGTTTGATCTTAGTATGACTACAGTTTTGCTTCTGGGGATGTAAAGGGTTTCCTTCAGATGGCTAGATAGACTTCAGTCTCTCATTAGAGTTTAGAGGATCTGTGAAATGGATGTGATTAGCCAGCAGCCTGATCTGACACACGGGAGTGGTCCTGAAGCCCCTGCACTCTCTTTTAATTAGTAGTCACACACTAAAGCAGGATGCTTATGCTCTTTGCAACCCTGATTTCAATAGGATCAAACTCACATCTTCCAGCCCCAAGAGAGCACAGCAGGGAGCATCCCCTGTTCCTGGCAGGGCAAGCAGGGTCATTCCTTACCTGGCATTGGGAAGTGCATTGAGCAAAGCCCACTCACTCCTTGCCTCCTCAAGCACAGCTGTGGAACCTGTAAATTCATTCAGTACAATGTGCTGGCTGTAAGGAGCTCCAGCAGAGCTGCACTGCATCCCAGCCCCTCCAGCTTGCACGTCTTACTGGCTGGTGAAGGCAATCCCCAGCTTGGCAGCATACCTCTTTGGAATCTACTGCCAGATGCCACGTGGTTCCAGTGCACTGCAGTGGAAACCTATTAAATAAGGGAATTTTGCCCATGGGGATCCTTAGCATCAAAGATTGCTATGGTGGTTGTCAAGAGGCCTGACTTATTTGCTTCTGTTTTCAGAAGACCCTGCCATTTTCAGTACTGCCTCAAGTCTTGCTACAGAGGCCATACAGCGACTGCAGTAAGAGTTGACTTTGCAAAGAAAGAAACAAATACGTTCTTAAGCTTCCAATAGAACAATTACAGAATCCAAGTGCAACAGCATGAAACCAAATGCCTAGAAAAGTTTCCAGGCTTACCACAAGCAGAAATAGATTGAGTTCAAATTTGGCATCCTGGCACGCTCCCTTACAAACCTTCCTCTTCAGCTTTCCTGTCTAATTTTCTGTGAGCAGATCATGCAGTGTAGTCATCAGTGTGGATTCACCATCAATGCATCACGTTTCCCCCGAAGAAGCTTCTAAATCAATTTTAATTCCAATGGGCTTAAGGCAATTTGTTTTCAATTCGATTCATTAATCTGTACATGTTTATAAAATGGCCTTTTACCCCCTCATGTACTACAGTATAACTGTGTTTTATATATCTAAATGCTCTGGCTAATAAGAACAACTTTTTTCCCCCAACAGGAATGCTACAAACACGTGATGTTTATTCACTCACTCAATGAACCAGATGACATAAACAAACAAAAAAACCTAACTGGAATGTTATTTGTTGTTATTCTTAAAGAATCCATGATTTCTGGCAAAGATCACACACCAAAAGGAATCACCAAGAAAGTCTGAGACCAGAGCTTTCTAAATCTCCTGAGGATTTTGCATGATTTCATTTCACAGACCAGCATGAAACCTCTTCAGGACGCCTTTTAGAATTTGACCAAGTTCTTAAAAACCGTGGTTACAACACAGCTACCAGCAGATATCAGGCAAGAGTGGCACGAAGATTAGTGCTGGAGGTTGGGGTTGGCAGCAATATAATCTCCTCTAATAACATCGAGTGCGCTGTAAGCTCATAAGATGGAGTGAAGTGAAGGAAGGAGGGTTGTGCAGGTCACAGCAAAACATGGGTCCCCCAGCTGCTCAACACCTTGACAATACACAGAGCAAAAAGCAACACCTTCCAGTCAGTTAAATTCCTGCTGTGTGCTGAGAACACGAGCAACTATCTTTGCCAGAGCCCATCAAATTCTGGAGCATTTATTCATCAGTCAGGTCAATATAAGGCAAAGTAAGGACTTGGCTTTCAACAACCTATTTTTAAGATTATCCACGGTGATAATACTATGATTGAAAAATTACAGTTTGATGTTATCTGTTGGTATTGAACTTCTCTACAGAACACTGGAGTTTTACAGCTGGATTTTACTTAAATGGCAGCTTCTGAGATGATCTCACATGTAAGTTTTTGTCCTAACTCTAGGAATTCTCTTACTAGTAGAGCAGAAAACTGCCTTACAAACCAGCTCTGATGATAACAGAAAGACCAGAGACTTGCAGGAAGGACTTTAAGACCCAAGGCTGTAAAAAACACTACGTCAAAATGAGAAATGTTTTAAATAATCACTTGTAAGAGAATTGCTTTGCATATGACTGCAGAAAGAGACCTTTGTTCTGAAAGTAAGATCCCATAAAATCCGTATCCATGCAGGAGCATTAATGCCACACGCCCAATCTGCAGCACAGATCTTCAGCACGGGATACACCTGTAGGAGTCATTCCACAAGGAAACTCTTATGAAGCTCACTGCTCCGTCTCAGTGCAGTGCTGTTACTGCAGCTGGCAGGAGACCCCCCAGATGGGCAGAAATGAAGGGTAGGAAGATCCTCCCTCCCACCTGTTGAACAGAACTAGCTGTATTGCTCTTGCAGAAGTACAAAACCTGAGCCACTGAAAATACATCAGAGCTGAAAGTTCTGTTTATAAAGCAGAGAGCAGTTTCTTGGGAGTACTCAGCTCTGTTGAATAATCAAACTCACTGATGAGAGACACAAGAAACCTCATGCCAGTGCTTGCTACCTGCTGCTGCTTGCAGTAATGAACTCAGGAAAGAAGCCTCCTGCTTGCCACCCATCCATCATTCACACTTAACAGAGAGCTCATTTGTTGAAATACACACAAATACACACAACCCAGCAACAAACAAACAAGCATACCAAGTTCCTTTTGACTTTTCACTGCATGTGATTGGAACAGCAAACACTGTCAGAACTGTACACCTCATCTGTCCGAAGCACTCCATGTACAGCGAGGCTTCCAGAGGGCTGGATGTGAGCAGATGTGCCCACAGCACTGAGCATGATCATTTCTGGAGATGCACTGCTGCACGCTGTCCCTTCTAGCTCTTTAGACACTTCTGCCTGCTGCAGAGAGCTCTGATTGCTGCCACAGAATGTATTTTGTGCTTTTCCTCAGCAGCAAAGGTAATTCTCAGATTTTCCATGTGGGGGCTAGAATCAGATTTTGTGCAGAGCATCCTGTTATTATGATCTATGAAATTTTATTAACAAACATCGAGTTGCTATAACAGCTGTTTGCTCTTTGCAAAACTTTCACCCTCCAGCAGAAGAAATAACATAGGAGACCCACATCAAAAAGATGTTATCTGTGACATAAAAAAAACTGATATTTTCAAATTTATCAGTTTTACTTTCTCTACTTGCCTTGATGAGCTTCTCCCTCAGATCACACTCCCGTCTACATCAAAGTTCCCCTATTTATGTCTTCCCAAACTACAGCTTCTTTTTTATCTCAAATGAACCACTTCTTCCATGTGATTTGAGGCCTACAGCAGTAAGGACCCTAAGCCATCCACTGAAATACATCTTTAAACCATTCCATGGCTGCGGCTTTTACAATAGTCTAATATCAAGGTCACTGATACAAAAGCTATCCCAATCACAAGGTCTTCACCAGCTTGGCAGAATCACCACAGTAAATGGTGTAGCTGCCCACAAGTCAAACAAGTTATTTATCAGATACCTAGCATGATTTCAATTTGCAATGCACACAGGTTTCAATCTTTTTATCTCAAGTATGAAAACTGTTAGATTATTGAGTTGGTTTTGCTGTTTTACTACTTGTCCTTTTAGCTTTAGTAATGCACGTTAAATTCAGCTTCAATCGCAACGACACTGTAGGTTAAAAATACAAAACAGCTACAATAAACAACATGAATTGCCACTGGAATTCAAGGTCTTGGTTTCCAAGTTCAATGGTATTAAAAAAGAAGAGCAATAAAAACACCAACAGAAATATAAGAATGAAAATCTCCACCAAAGTCTTACAGAACTTCTATTCAGGAGCTCATACAAACACACATCTCATGCTTATCAGTCCAAATAAGTGCCCTGGAATCTAATGTAAATTTGTAGTTATAAATCTGAAATCCCCCAGCATGCATTTATTTGTACCTTCCCCTTAATTCTCTGGGTCTTCCTTCTCCTTTTCTCTATTTCCTTTACTGGACTGATCTCCCTATAGACTGCTACTGAGTTTTCTGTAACTTCACAGAATGTCAGCAGGACTGAAACTTCAGCAACAAAGAGCCCATTTAAGTTCTGGTTAGTTCAAAATGAAGTAGAAACAAAGACTTCAGAAGAAAATGTATTTATCAACAAAGCAAAACAGCTATCTTTTGGTAAAAGTCATTTTGTTAGCCGTGTTTCCATTTGTGAAACAATTGCAAGTAAAGTAAAAAGTAGTGGAGGGTAACACAGAATTTCCTCCTTACAATTTAAACATATTTTAGTAATATAGGATTTGATTCTCTGACATTATATGTTCTCAGACCAGGCAAGACTTCCACTCGACTTAACAACTTTTACTTCCATGGAGTGCATAGACAACAGAAGAAACATAGATGCATAAAAGGTGGTAGGAGATACATAAAGATAAAGAGAAACCAGACGCTACCTTTCTTTTTGGAGTCTTTCTTTGTGCTGGTTTTAACAGCCACTTGAAGTTCTGCCTCAGTTGACATCCTATATCCTTAGTCCTCTTCACACAGATCCAGTATCTCGGTCAGGCTCATTTAGAATATGTCTCCAAGAGAATAATTGAGCCTTTCAGACACTATAACCCAAACAGTTCATCTCATTCAGTCCCTTCGAGTGCTGTTAAAAGAAACAAAAAGTAGCAGTCATTTTCTGAGTTTAAAACATGAATAATAATAATAATAAGGCATTGCAAGATTACTGAGAGATGTGGTTAGTAAGCATGATGGTGATGGGTTGACAGTTGGACTTAATGACCTTAGTTGTCTTTTCCAACCTCATGAAGCCTATGAAATTCCCTATCTACAGACAGAGAATGCCTGATTCCACAGTCTGCATTTGTAAATGATTAAACACGGGCATTTATGGCTGTTGGAGATGTCTCCAAGGGTGAGAGATAACACCAGAAGTGCACAAAGCCCCATCCTTCCAAGTCAGCAGCTGGAGGCCAGGGATTACATTCTGGGAAGTAGATGGCAATGTCACCAACAGCAACAAATTCTGCATCTCAATTCTTAAATGGTGCAATTACAGGGTGAAAACATCTTGCCAGATATTAAACTCACATCTGTACTCCTCAAATGCTCTTTCAATACTTCCATTCTATTACTTGAACAAAGTCAAATGAAAAACGTACACATCTGTTGTACTGAACACACAATACATCTTGCTTATGATAATGTGCATGTTTCAGGTATAAAAGAATCTGCCTCTGTTTAGCAAAGTTGAAATTCCTTACACCCACCTAGCACTTATTCCTTCAAATACCTATTTGTAAATACACATCTTTGAAAATACACTTAATTCAACTTACAGTTTACAGAAGATTTAAATGCAATAGGACTACTTCCAAGGGGCAAAACGGTAGCATTTGGGGAAAGCTATGTTTATTGTTGGTGAGATGCAGAAATGCTCCAGCTGTGAAGCCCCAGCAGATGTATGCTGGGGAAGCTTGGGCTGCATCAGCAAGCAATAAGCAAGGATTAAACAACTCAGTCACGACTAAAGCATTGCTCCAGCTCTTCCTGCTCAGAACAATGAGCTGCCTGCTCTGTCGGCCTGCTCAGAGCAGACCACGCTGTCCCAAAGCCATTTCTCACGATGCTCCCTCATTGAACACTTCATCTTGTCCTTCTTTTGGAGAAAGCGTTCTCCATTATTAGTGCAATTACAGCGAAGTCCATCTGCACTGTCTGAACAGGTGCCCGGTTATTAAATAAGCATTTAATAAAGAAATTAACCCAGCATATCGGCTGGTTAGCTGGCCAGAGATTAACGGCAGTTAAATACATTTGCTAATGGCACTTCTCAGTAATTTAAGGAAGTAATGCACTTAAAAATTGAAATAACTTGGACAGTTTAAATCACTTCCCACAGCAAGGGCCATGAAGCCACTCGTACTTTCAAATCCAGCCTCTTTTCACATTTTAAAATGCTTCAGTAACATTACATTGCCACGCAGTCTGTGAAGTGATTTAATATAGCTGAAGTGTGTCAGGGGTTTTCTTTAATAAGCTCTTCAAATCTGTATGCCTGTTACAGAATATTCAGAGATAGCTTTTCCAAATCTGCTGAACTGATTTCAAAAGAGGAAATTCCACATTTCTCCTCTGTGGAGTCTGAGGAAGTACAGAAGAGCAAAAAGGAGGAAGAAAAAAAACCAATCAACTTACAAATCTAAGCTGGAGTGCTTGCTATATACACCTTCTCAGAGTGCTTTAATAAACTAAAAACGTTTATTGTTGGTGTTGCTAGTTAAGAAAACAGCAGAAATGGAAATGCAAGTGAAGGCTGACCGAGGTGAAATGGAGGAAGGCAAGGAGTCCACAGGCAGGGGCTTGTGGGACTCCTCTGCAGGAGCCAGCTCTGCACCAATCCTTGCAATCCCCCAGCAAACAGGGAGAGAACAGATGTCCCCTGCTGCCCACGTCCCCATCCCCTCCCCCTGCACAACCCCATTTCATATTCAGCTTTACAGCACAGTAGGGATGCATCAGCCTTTCCAGCTCAGTGGCACTTACTTAAAGCATCTCTCAAGTCACAGCTGGATTGACAGTTTATTTTTCTAGAGTTTGGGTTTATGTTTTCCTAAAGGTTAGCTGGCATGAAGCACCAAGAGGAACTGCCTGACAAAAGGAAAATATTTCTAATAGGTCCCTTTACAATAAAATCAGAAGAAAAATTTAAACGAAATACAAACTACCCACAGGGTCAAGAGTTAAGCAAGTTTCAGAGTCCTAAAGGCTGCGTTTGGGTACAAAGCACCAAGAATTTCATCTCCTCTTGTCAGCTGCTATCAACAGAATAGCTGGAGCAATAATATCTGAACAGCACTGAATATTTTAAGACAACAACGTATGAGTGCCATCTCATTTGAAACTCTCCAGAAAAGCTATATCCCCTCGAGGCTCTCCCACTGAGTAATATTTTAAAAAATAAATGTGTGTCTATTTTTGGACAGGTTCACATATTGATTTACTTTAAAACCTAATCAGGTCATACTCTCCCGGGCTCAGAGATCCTTGAATAAAGCAATAGACATCTTTGTAACAGGAACACATAAACATCTGTCACATCAAGCTACAGTTCAAACTGAATTTGCTACAGCGACAATTCCTCCCAAAGTATAGGCCTTTATGTAAGCTACGTTAGTAAACTTCCATACCCTGTCCATATTTCAGTTGTTTATTACCCAGATGAGAACAGCAGTCAATCTGCTCCTCACCGCAACAGCTTTTATTGTCTCCTCCAATCTAGGTCACTGCTGTTAAATACTACAGCCTCCCAACTGTGGCGAGTACTGCAGCATGCGTTCTAGCAATGAGATGCCACAAGCCTCGAGCAGCTCTGCCACATTTCCCTGCTCTGAAGGGAAAATTTTGTTAGCAGCATTTTTAATAATGATAACAATAATATTAAAAAGCTCTAATCTTGAATGTAGCTGCTCTTAATGATCTTCTTGTGCGCCTCGCTCCTGTTCCAGCTACTACAATGCTTTGTGCATGCCTCAGCTTTTCCTAAAGAGGATTCCAAGCTCTTCGTTTTAACAAAATACTGACATTCTCTATTCCCTTATTAAGTGGATACAGCAAGAACACAATCGGTGCATTTTGGAATTAACTGGCTTTTAATTCCAAGAGAAGTCTTAAGCCTGCATTCTGTATTACTCCTACGCCAACGTAAGACCTAAAGCCTCAGTGAAGAAATACCTCTGTAGATTCCCTCTGCTGTCAGGATTAGCACAGGTTGAACCTCCCATTCCTCAGCTGTGTGTGTGTGTAAAACCACGATTTCTGCACAATTCTTTGTCTTCTTGGCCACACTCCACTGAGCTCTCAGAGAGCCTTTAGGGTGGGCTTCCCCCATCCCAAGGGACAAGAGGTCACATAGCATGATCTGAATGCTTCCCTGTGGCTTCAGGGCTTCAAAACTTCAGAATTTCCCTCTCTTAAAAGCAGCTTCCATCTGCTTATGTAAAGGAAAAGCAGCCTTAGGAAGGCTTTGTAACTAAGCCCTGGCATTCCCTAGGTATTTAGGTTCTCCATGGCCCCAGAGTGGGATCCAGCAGGTCCTTCATGAGAGGTTGGCACCTCCCACACAGGAATTTGTCAGAAATCCTACTGCCATCCTCAGCTCTTTCAGACGCCTGCAGCTTTGAAATTCCTTTCCTCCAAAGCATCCCTATAATCACCTGAAAACAATATGAATGCACATACTTCTCAAGTGTAAAGCAAAACCTGAAATATCGGAAGGGCAAAATATAAGTAACAAAATTATTTTTAAACAACCTTTGAAAACTGAAAACAGCTCAAGTGTGAAGGATTGCTATCCAGGGACACAACTGTTACTCAGAGGCTGAGCACCTGAGCACAGAGCCTCGCATGGAGACCTGCCCACAGACGGCACGTCACACCAGCTCCGTGCTGCTGCAGGAGGTTTTCCATCCTTGGGTTTTCCTCCCCAACAAGATGAGTTCCTCAAATCCCCAATTCTTCAAACCCCTGTTTTCAAAATAACCTTCAGGCAACTGTGGCCCATACCAGTTTATTAAGTTCTTTGTGGTTTACAACGTCTCATTACTCTGTCTCTAGGGCATCTCCAGGCATGCTATGCGTACCTCAGACAGTGCACGCAGCACTACCGGAGCTGATTTACAACAAGAACAGCATCTTGCCAAAAAATTGACCTACAGCTTATTTCCAAAGTGAGATGTTTATTAGTATTCCAATGACAGCAGGAATAATTACTGAAATTCCTCCTGGAAATCACTCCTTGTAGTGGCAAATACCACACTTCACGGCTTATTCACCAGAAGTGCTGCAAATTTCCTTCTCTTAGAAAATGCTGACTGGATGAAATAGACACTGTTCACACGAATGAACTGATTTCATAAACATTTTGAATGGGAAATTACTAAGAGTACCATCAAATATAACAGTTTCTATTTTATATCACAGATAGCATTCTAGAAAATAAGTGCAAAGCAAAAGAGGCTTCTGTAACAGTTTGTGAGATGTGGTTTCAAACTTTGGTGCTCGTGACAAACTATACAATGTCAGCTCACCATTTCTCCAAGGAAGGATACTTAGATACTTTTAAAGATGCAAAGAGAAAAAGCACCAAAGAGATTTGCACCAATTGGTTGGAAGACCAAGAGAAACATATCGGTACTTTTTCTTCCAGCGCTTTCAAACTGAAAGTTGCTCTCAGCCTGATTTCCAACAGCCCAGCACCAGCTTCAGCTCTGGGACACAGCACCTACCATCCCTTCCATGGGGTTTGCTAACAGCTGTCCCCTCATTCAGACTTTCCTCTATGCACATACTCCTTCATCGACCCCAAGGCAGAGAAAAAGAATTTCTGATAACACTGAGTAAGAGCAAGCAAGAACCCAAGCTCATAAATGCTCAGACACCACCCAGGCATACCCTGGCTGCATTCTGACCTCCACCAGCAGAAAGCTGCCTTGCCTCCATTACAGCCCATAAAGCCACACCAGCACAAAATCGATAGCATTGCATTTGATTTCTATTGGCGTAACTCCATGGGTTTTAATGGAGTTGGAGTTACACCAATTTTATGCTGGTGGATCTGCATTAGTGTCAGTGAAGTTATGCTGG